CTTCCATTCCTTCCTTACCTCCCTTTCTTACCTCCCCACTCCCTCCCTCCTCCCTCCTTCCCCTCCCTCCTTCCCCTCCCTCCTCCGCTCCCTCCCTCCCTCCCTCCCTTCCTTCCTTCCTTCCTTCCTTCCTTCCTTCTTTCCTTCCTTCCTTCCTTGATAGGGTCTTACTATATAGTCAAGGTTGGCCTTGCTCTCAAGATCTTCCTACCTCAGCCTCCCAAATGCTGGGATTATAGGCATGCACTGTTGCACCTGGCTTCAGTCCCTGCCCTTCATTAGCTCTGTTACCTTGAGCAAGTTCTTTAACCCTCTCACCCTGTGTTTTCTTATCAGCTAACTAGTAATGACAATCTTAGTAATAACAGTTGCTATTATTTATGGAGTTCTTACCCTGTGCCATGCAACAGGCTTTGTATCATCTGCTTATTCATTTTACAAGTGAGGAAAGAGACTCAGAGACCTTAAGTGGTTTGTTCACAGTTACAGAGCTAGAAATATTATGGTCAGAGTCAAACCTAATTTGTTGGACTCCAAAGCTACCCTATGGTCTTCACTGTGCTGACCTTCCATAGTCTCTGTCTCATAGAGATCATACATATATGGCAATTAGCAAAGTGCCTGGCACATAGGTAAGTGTCCAATAAGTTAATTAGGACTGTCAATATCGTTAGTCATAGTAAGCTATCAACTACTGCATAGGCACTTTGAGGTCATAAAGCAAAAAAAAAACCAAAATGTAATTTGTCTTCCCTTTAGAGACAAATCACTTGGGGCTTAGAGAGGTTGAAAAAGTTACCCACAATTACAAAGTGGACGGACCAGAGGGTGGTATTTGAACTCATGAATTGTGATTGCAGAATCTACGCCCCTAAACTCTGAGGTGGAATCCAGGTTCTGGTTTCTTTATTTAAACAATACTACCCAGGGTTTAATCACCTGGCCACAGCAGGCCCCAGGAGAACAAAGGAAAAACAAAGAAAGCCAGGGCACATGAAACCAGGGTGAAACATTCCACAGAACAAAGAAAATCAAAAAGTAAAATGGTCGTGCTGTAAATTTTCCATGTTGTTGTTGTTGTTATTATTATTATTATTGGTCTTTTTGAGACAGGGTCTCCCTGTAGCCCCAGCTGGCCTGGAACTCACTATGTAGACCAGGTTGGCCTTGAACTCACAGAGATCCGCCTGCCTCTGCCTCCAGAGTGCTGGGATTAAAGGCATGTGCCACCACGCACAGCTCTTTATTATTTATTTATTTAATTAATTTATTTATTTATTTATTTATTTATTTATGAAGTTTTCCATGTTAGAGGACAGTTTGACAGATTTTTCAGACCCAAATAAAAGATCCTACCTCCCCAGGAACAAACACACAGGGTTCTGGAATTAGGTAGATGTGGGTCAGTCTTTGGATGCCACACATAAGCTGTGTGGTCTTGAACAAGTCCTTCTCTCTGGGCCTATGGTAAAGGGATGCTAGAACAACTGCTGGGCATGTGTTTAAATGTGAACCACTAATGGAACTCATTTCCCTTATCTTCCTTCCTTTGCACCCCTCATTTCCCTGCCTCTGGCACCCAGGAATCCTGACCTCCGTGAAGAGATGCTGGCATGTCTGGTCCAACTCAAACCAGAGAACCATTAAGAAGGGGCCTTCATTTTGGATTCTCCAACACAATACCAATGTCCCAGCTGTGACGTACTGTCACTGATGAGAGACTGGGAAGGGAAAAGCATATATATATAGATATATATATATATAGATAGATATAGATATATATACAGGAAACACCACGTCCTTGCACTGCTGCTGGGGCTGGTGGAGCAGTCAGCCAACAGCAACAACCAACATCTGCAACAACCTTCATTTCCTTTGCAGACAAATTGAAGAATTGGTGGGATTTTTTTTTTTTCAGGAAAAATATGTAACAACTATACTGTCTCGCCTCCCTGTCCCCCTTCTCCTGCCAGACCACAAGAGCAGACTGTAATGATTGTAGAAATCTGATTGAACCCCAGCTGCACACAGTCCAGAATGGGGGAGCATCCCATTTGTTGTTCTTCAGCATCTGTCATCCACTCAAATGCAAAGGGAACAAAAAAAAAAAAAAACAACAAAAAAAGCAAAACACAACGATCACGCAGCCAAGCAAGAGAAGTCGCAGCAGCAAGACAAGCACAGTCAGTCATTTTCCAAGAAAGGAAGTCTCCCGCTTGGGAAAGAGGAGGAGGACTGGATTGCTATTTTCTGGGTCTTGACACTGGGCTGCGAAATCCACTTTCTGTTCTTCCACCTCCCCTCCTCCCCCTTGACTCCTGGTCTTGTCCCTTTCTGTCTCTCTCCTTCCTGCCTGTCCTCTGTGTCGTGGTTCTGCTGAGGGCCACTGCAGATGACTCTTATTGGACAGAAAAGAGAAGACAAGGAAGCAAGAAGAACAAAACGAAGCCACTGGAAGGGAAGCAGACATTGTATGTTTCTGGTTTCTCATGATGGAGGTGCAGCTTGTAGGAGATTTGTATGGCTGTGCTTTTAAGTTATGTATATTACATATAACAGGAAACACATATTAAAATAAACAGTGCTGGTAAGTATGCAGCTGACATTTTAAAGTATAATTATCTGACTGTGATTGATATATCCCAAGGTTCCTAGATCTTGCTGAACTGGCCCAGCCAAGGACCCTAGACTCTGGGTGTGGCCAGCTCCCAGTAGGGCTGACAGATTCAGTGTAGTGAAACTGTGTGGTGTTTGTAACTGGGTGATTGGTGGGGGAGTGAGGGCCCCCCATGGAGAGGTGGGGGTTCAGCAAGAAGGAAGCAACATAGATGTAGTAGTCCCGACTATGCCAGTCCGTGATGCCTTCTCCCCCAGCAGTAGCTGTCAGGGCCTTGTCTGTGCTCAGACACAGCCACCCCCACCCCCATCCCAGTCAGGACTCTGCCGCTGAGGTCCCTACATCACTCCTCCTGTTTCCAGGGGGCTTGCCTTGGTGTTCAGTCCTCTCTTTCTGTTCTATTGTTTCTATAAGTTTTTGTTTTGTTCTGTATTCTGCCATGTCTTGCCCTGCTCTTAATCAGGTTGTGATGGTTACTTCCTTCTCCAAAAGGGAGGTGGTGTCCCTGGCTGAGGTAGAAAGCAGTGACTGTAACCTGGTTCTCCAATATGCCCAGCCAGTCTTCCCCCTCTGCTCTTCCATCTTGTGACTCATTCTCTTCTTCCTGAGCCAAAGTAGCCATGGTAAAAAGGCCATGGACATAGGGAAAGCCATGAGAGGCCCAAACTGCATTCTCACCTATCCTGAACAATGGTAAGTGAAACGCGGCATTGCCCATAGGCTTCATCTGCGTTAGATCCTGACTTGCACAACCTCCCCATCAGTCAACATCTGAGCTCAGAGATGGCCTTGAGGCCACAGGGGCCCTTGAAGAAAACCCCGTTACAAGCTTGCCATTGTACTTTGGCATGTGCAGGCTTCCTCTGGCTTGTCTGCCACAAGCAATGTCCCTTTCTGAGGGAAAATATCCCACAGCACTTGAATTTCTCCATCCCATTTCACTTCCCAGCCTTTCTAAGGCAGCCCATAAATTTATTCAACAAATGTTTATTGAGTTGCCCATTGTACCAGGCACTGTTCTCAAGACAGAAGGAGAAGTGTGAAAAGAGAGGGACCTGAGAAGCCACCAGACCAACCTTCTGTCCCTAACCATGGCTGGCTTGTCTCAGAACACTTCCTCACTTCCTCCACCTGATTAGATATTGCCCAGGGATGTTTCCAGAGGGCCCAGGCTAGATGTGCCTCCTTGGCTTATGAGTTATTCCTACAATGTTCACCTTCCCTACTTACCAGGTGCTGGTCTGAAGCAGGGCAAGGAACTAAAATAGCTTCTGTCTCTGTGGCAGATGGGAAGTAGAGCGAAGCTCTTAGATACAGAGTCAGCCACATGCCCCAGGTGCAGGTTGCTGGGCCCACTTCACTCCAGCATGGCAGCACATTTTCTTTGCTCCAGGAGCTTTGCACATTCCTGGTGGAGAAGCCACACAACCTTCCTGCCCTTGGCACCATGCAAGATCCCAATGCTCCTGAGCCAAGTGTGGGTGTGGCTCCGTCTCCTCTAGGCCCCTTGAAATTTGGCTCAGGCCCCCATCTGCCTTTGCAGGAACTAGGCTGAGCACATTGGACTCACCTCAAAGGAAAGACCTTTGTCCAGAGGTTTGCACCTGCCTGCAAACCCTCCGTGCGGGCTACTGGACAGAGATGAATTGACACAGCTTAGCTTGTGGGCCACTGGGGTTTGGGAAGAACCTCATACTGTGGATGCTCTGACCTTCCTTTGGAGAGGCAGCACCCCACCAGGGGAGGAGGAGACCCATAAAGCTAAAATCTAGGGCACTGTTCCCTCCCCACCCTCGCTCCATAGAGAATAAGGACCTTGTCTTGTCTTGTCTTCAACCTACTTTTTCCTTTTTGATTTTTTACACCTCATCTTCTCTGTGCCTCTTCTGTATCCAGGAAGCCAGGTAACAGTGGGAAAGGTCCCAGAGAGCAATCAGGTGACCATCCTGACTCAATCCCTGTCTCACCATGTGACACTGGGCTAAAACTAGTTCCACTCAAGGGTTTTCCCACTCTGTCTTAAAAATCTTGATTCTCCCTAGTTTTGCTTTCTGTGAATCTTTTCCATCTGAGGGTTCAGGAGGTGCCAGGACCTGTTTCAGTTTTTGAATTCTGCAAGAACATTCCAAGACTGGCCTGAAATTGCATGAGCATCATCATTCTAATTTTTTTTTCAAAAACACCTTACCAACCAACTGCAATGCTGTCCTGTTCCTTTTTACTTGCACCCCCTCTCCTCTCTTGTACCCATGCTCCCCCACCTCAGTGCTCCGTGCTGTATGCGTGTGCTCTCTGTTCTTGTACACTCAATAAAAGTGAAATAAATGTGTTTAATGCTGAACCAGAGGCTCCCCCGGCCTCCCTTATCTCCCTTCTCTGTCTCTCCCTGTCTCTGACCTTGGCTGCTGGTACGTGTTGGTAACTGGGGTGGAGACATCCCAATATAGAACACTTATTTTAAAACTGCCTGGAGTTCCCAGTGTAGCCCAAGGGCTTGGCTTATATTCTGCAGTTGCAACATCACACAGGGCGAAGACCTTGTTGGTCAGGGGCTCACAGGCCAGTAGAGAAAACAGACCACAAGACAGGAAAACTATCAGAGAGATCAGCACTAGGAAATAAATACATTGAAATACTGAAAGAGATCATTTTAACAAGATGACTTGTCAGTATGTGCTTAGCATATGTGAGGCCCTGAGTTTGATTCCCCAGCACCACAAAAAAAATACAGTCGACCAGTTAGGACCTCCGTACGGAGGTCATTTTTTGAGCTGAATAAAGAGGAAAATCAAGTAAGGTGAAGAATTGAGAATATTCTAGACAGAAGGGACACTGGAGGGGGAGATGTAGTCTTTCCCTGAAAGGAGAGCAACCTCCCAGCATGGGGGCCTCACAGGTAATGCTCACAGCAGTCCCCAGTTTGAGCCTCTGCTGCCAACCTTCAAGTATGTTGCCATGTCTTCACACCACCTGTCCCTTTATTGACTTACCTTTCTTAAAATGACTCACTTTGAAAAAAATTATTTAAAAAAAGAAGTCAGAACCAGACAGAGGACTCAGACGGTAATGGCTTAGGAAAAGCACTTGCTACCAAGCCTGACAACTTGAGCTCGATCACAGGGCCCCATATGATAAAAGGAGAGAAGAGAGCCCTGTAAGTTATCCTGTGACCTCCATGTGCACACCATGGCAGGCATGCTCCCCCATACACACACACAAAATATTAAAAATACAAGGGTATGATGGCCGTGGTGGCACATCTTTAATCCCAGCACTCAGGAGGCAGAGGAAGGCAGATCTCTGTGGGATCAAGGCCAACCTAGCAAGTTCCAGGTCAGCCAGGGTTACATAGTGAGAGCCTGTCTTAAAAACAACAACAACAACAACAACAACAAATACAAAGCTGGGAATGTAGCTTGCCCTAGCATGCATGAAGTCCTAGGTTCAACCCTCTTAGTATTGTAAAAATAGATAATAAATAAAAAATTTAAAATAATTCCACAAGTGAAAAGCTAACATCATTTACCAAAGATAGGAGCCTCCACAAAAATAAACTGGAAGGGCTGGTAGTATAGCTCAGTAGTGTGCCACTTGCCTAGCATGTGCAAAGCCCTATAAGAAAATAATAAAGAATTAAAATTAAAATCATGATCCACGTAAAACTAAATTCATTTCTTGGGGGTCACCTGAGGAACATACTACATTTTCCATTTTATTCTATCAAGCAACTCACCTTAGGCCACCTTTCTAAATTGCTTTAAATCTCACAGGTCTTTTTCTCATGTATATGGATTTTTCAGGGTTGAAGGCATCTTGTACATAGATAGCATCCTAAATACTTTTAAAACTTGCATTTTGTAGCATTCCCTATAATTTAAATGACCAAGTACTATTTATTTATACATCCAGTTCATTAAATGATACATGTGAGGAAAATAATTCAGTCTTCTCCAGATTCCTATTTATTGTAAAAAGGGAGTTTCTACAAGGAACTTTGTGAATGTTTTCCAGAATCTTCCCTGTAGATTTCCTTTAACAATCTGTCACCTCTAAGATCCTGGAATAGGAATTGGTTTATAAATATTGGGACCCCACACAACTCAGGACTCCACACCCCTCTGTACCTGTAGGGCTAGCCTCTCTGCTACTTGGAATAATAACCTGGGACTGGTTCATCTAGATCCATGTTTCTCAACAGGTATTGGGGTGATGAAGCAATGTCTAGAGACATTTTGTTGTCACAACTGACCAGTGCTACTGACCTGTAGAGGATAGAGCCTAGGTTTCCTGCTAAATTTCCTACAGTGCACACAACAGCTGTCTGCAACAAAGAATTATCAGGTCCTTAATATCAATGGTGCCAAAGTTGAGAAACTGACTTAATGAACACGCAAACCACAAAGCTGGATTCCCAAGCTATCATCTATATCTCTTCCAACTTCCATGTCCAGTGTTAAGTGCCCCGAGTCTCAGAAAAGATGGTGAACCCACCTGGAACAGAAAACTCTGGGGTCACACCACAAAGCTCAGTACCTAAGGCTGGGAGTGGACATAGGTGGGGAGGGCTGAGCTGCTACACTTGGGAAATGGAACTGACAGGACAGGTTGGGATTGATGTGCGTGATGGTGAAAGTTGCCCTTGATTAACCTTGAAGCAGTCCATTGTGATTAACCATAACTACAGCATTCAGCCTAGTCTGTAAATTCCTAAGAAATCAGTTGTGACTGGGATAAATTGGTATGTCCAATTGTAACTGTGACAAGTTAAAGAGCAGCAGCACAGGGACCAGAACTTCAGTTAGACCATGTTTTGCCTCCTAGCTCTGTACTCTCTGGGTTTGCAAACCCTCTGTGAACCTTAGTTTTCTCTCTTGTAGATTGAAAGTACTTGTTACCATTTTTTAAACCCCCAAACTGGCTGGGCATGGTGACGCATGCCTTTAATCCCAGCACTCGGGAGGCAGAGGCAGGCAGATCTCTGTGAGTTCAAGGCCAGTCTGGTCTACATAGTGAGTTCCAGGACAGCTGGGGCTACAGGGAGACCCTGTTTCAAAAAGACCAAAAAACCCACAAAACAACAATAAAAAAAAAACACAACAAACTCCCAAACTGGATCATTTTTCTCTCCTAGAATTGTAGAACAGTAATAAGACTAAGGACACATTTAACAGCAAGGAAGACTTTTGTTCTTGGTTAAGAACAGAAGTGGGAGATAAACACAAACCAACTTATCAACCAGTTGGGGATCAGGGAGATACAGATGCAGTATTAAAAATGAGGGGAATAGCTGGGCATGGTGGCACTCGCCTTTAATCCCAGCACTCGGGAGGCAGAGGCAGGCAGATCTCTGTGAGTTCAAGCCCAGCCTGGTCTACATAGTGAGTTCCAGCACACAGCTGGGGCTACAGGGAGACCCTGTCTCAAAAAGACCGAAAAAAAAAAAAAAAAAAAGGGAGAGGCTAATAAACGGGAGGAACCTTCAAGACTTTTCTGGGAATGGCAGAGATTTTCTGGGAATTAAGCTACCACCTTGTTTTGCTGCTTTTATGATTTTAGTTGACAACTTTCATAGTGCTGGAGGTATGTCACTTAAAAAGCAGATACATTACAACGAAGTTAGAGGTTATCTGCTGTTCACTCCAGCAGCCATCTTATATTCAACCATTTTTGGTGGACTCACCTGAAGAGGAGTTTCTGGGCTTCAAGCGTCCTGTCCTCAAAGATAAATAGTATTACAACAGGGTAGAAAGGTAGGTCAAGTAGACAGTACAAGATTGAATATAGGGTAATATACTGGCTAGGGTTCATGTAAAGATTAGCAGTAATATCTGAGTGATCTGCCCTATAGATTTTGGTGCTGTCTAGCCAGGCTTCACCATAACATAAGCCAATTCTTTGCAATAAATAACATATATCTCCTAGTGGCTCTGTTTCTGTAGTGGAACCCTGACTGATAGAACTAGGCACAAGATCAGGCCCACAAATATTCATTTACTAGTACCATATTAGTGTCATTAGTGATTGAACACATAGCATATGTGTATTTAGATAGCTGTGTACTAGGTTCCAGGGAAACAGTGACAAATAAGGCAGGCAGGTTCCCTCGCTTGGTGTGCATCTATAGCTTGACTGAGGTATTATGCTAGGTCTTCAAGACACCAGATGATCATTGTCAGAGTGCTGCTGTGGCTACTGTTGCAGTTGAAGGAATTGGTTCTCTCCAGGCATTGGTTCTCCCTAGGAATTGGTTCTCTCTAGCCTTGGTTTCTAAAACTCTATATAGGATTGAGTGTGACTAGAAGGTGGGACTGGATGGTAACAGGCAAACTTTGACACATCGACTGACATAGCGGTTTGACTGAGAAGGACCAACCATGACTGAGCCAGTTTATCTATGACTAACTAGATACTACCATCTGGACCATACTTTGGTGCCCATGTCTGCTTGGGACCAAAGGATTATGGCTGGTGGGTATGTTTTGGGACTAGGATATAAAAAAACATAGTTTAATTAAAGCTGTTATCCACGATTCAGGCGGGAAAATTAAAAACTAAGAAGAAAAATTCAGTATTCTACCGAGAGGAACCTGCAAGCACGGACCATTTCTTCTGCGACCCAGGTTCTCCGCCGGACTAATTTTTCCTTAACCCGTGGGCACCAAAGCGGTCGAACTTCCGGCTCATTTCCGCGGTTCCTGAACGCGAGGCAAAGAGGTGAGTGTGAGCTTCTGGCTTTCCCCCGGCCCCCATCTCGTTGTGTGTGTCCCGGTTCCGCGCTCGGAATCGCGGGGTGCACTTAATTAGGCCTCGGTCGTGGGGCGGCCGAGTCTGCGTCTGTGGGCTGGTGTCTCATGAGGGCTTTTTCTCCGAGAAACCGTCACCGGGGACACTCCGGTCAGAGCTTCACGGCACACACAGTCACTTTTTTTTTCCTCCCGGTAACTGTAGAGCTTGGGGAGCCGAAGACCTTATCTTCACGGGACCCGGTTCTGCCCGGATAATGTGATTTCCGGTGAGACATCGCCGGTCCCCAGCCTTTATAGTTCCTCTACAAAAATACATATTGTGTTTTAGTAAATAATTATTGAGCATCTGGTGCGCGCCAGGGATACAGAAGGACTCGAGTGGGGATGACAGTCCTCTTTTAAGCCTACAAGGTTGCCGCTGTATCATTGAAACGGGAAGGCGCCAGACAGCCCGAGTGTTACCATAGGACACTTGACTGAGCCCTGGTTTCCAAGAGTAAGGCACGCCGGATTTGCAGGACATTGTAAGAATTTTGTGTTCCCTAGAGGTACATGAGAACCCACTCAGAGGGGGTGAGTGAGTGATGATAAGATTGGCTGTTTGAAAAGGTCCCTCGGTGGATAGAGAATGGATTGGGGAGTGAAGTACTCTCTGGGTTAGAGAGGTGGTGGAGAGGGGAGAAGATGCCTTTCTGTTCTGCAGGATTGTGGGGACTACATCCCTTTTGTATGTTGCAGAGTTCTGTGCATATTCAGCAAACCTTTCCCCAGCCTTTCTTTTGTGCCAGGCCTCCTGCCTACTGCTGCAGATACAGTGGAGAGACTTGGGTGGTGGAAATAGCCTGAAGGAAGGTCACCCAGACACCAGAGGGAAAGGTGGCCAGTTGAAGAGCATTTCTGAATGGAATTTCTATTCATTCAGAAAATATTTATAGCCAGGGACTGGTGATGCACTCCTTTAATCCCAGCACTCAGGAGACAGAGGCAGTTCGATTGAGGCCAGCCAGGTCTACATAACAAGTTCCAGGCCACCTAGGGCTACAGGGAGACCCTGTCTCAAAAAGACCAAAGGAGGGGGTGGTGGGGAGAAGAGACAACTATTTATAGTGGCTTTTATAAACTGTGAACTACAAATACTTTTATGTCATACCATGTATACATGCAAACACAGAACTTCAAAATATGCTTGACTTTACTGCTTGTGACGTATTCTAATAACTGATAGCTTAAAAATTCTGTTTGTTTCATTTTTAAAAGTCATGCTGATCAAAATCTTCTAAATCATTTTATTTTTTAATTTTTATTTATTTATCTTTTGCTGGGTTTTTTTGTTTGTTTGTTTGTTTTTGTTTTTTGAGGCAGGGTCTCCCTGTAGCCCCAGTTGCTTTGTTTTGTTTATATAAATTAGAGTAAGTAGATTTAAACAAGGACTTGATTTTTCTGAGTGAAAATCTGAGGTCATGGTTTGTACTTCTGAGTAGATGTCTGGTAGACAGTATCTTACCCTGTGGATGTTTCTTTTAGTAAAGATTCTGGTAAAGTGCAGGTACTCTGAATATTTGTCAAATTGGATTGGTGGGTGACTTAGGCATGGAAGGTGAGGTAGTTTATTGACTTAAATTAGTTCATGTTGAAATTATTCTTCAAATATGGAAGCAGTGCTTGTTACAGAGGTTTTGTTCTTTTTAAATTATTAGTGTGTGTCTGTGAGTGTATGATGTGTATGTGGGAGCACATGTACCACAGTGTGCATGAGGAAGTTAGAGGACAATTTGTGGATTCTGTTCTAGCCTTCCAGGCAAGTGCCTTTACTCACTGAGCCATCTTGCCAGCTACCCCCCCCCCCCCCCCCCCAAAACCAGTCCTTATAGGAAATTCAGATGTGGACAAAATAAGTGATCCGAGCTCCTTCTTAAGTACTTCCTGTAGGCTTGCCTTGCCATTTGAATTGGCTCTGGACTAGTGGTTCTTTGGGAAGTTGTTTGCTTCCTGGACTTTGGGCTTCTTTGTTTTCAAATTTAAAAAATTTTTAAAAATGTTATATGGCTGGGTGTGGTGGCGTACGCCTTTAATCCCAGCACTCAGGAGGCAGAGGCAGGCGGATCCCTGTGAGGTCAAGGCCAGCCTGACCTACATAGTGGGTTCCCGGACAGCTGGGGCTGCAGGGGGACCCTGTCTCCAAAAGACAAAAAAAAAAAAAAAAAAGTTATGTGTAGCTGGGCGTGGTGGCACACGCCTGTAGTCCCAGCACTTGGGAGGCAGAGGCAGGTGGAGCTCTGTGAGTTCAAGGCCAGCCTGGTCTACATAGTGAATTCCAGTACACAGCTCAGGCTACAGGGAGACCCTGTCTCAAAAAGACAAAAAACAACAACAACAAAAAAAAGTTATGTGTATGAGTGTTTTGCTTGCATGTATTTAATACACACGTGCGTACAATGCCCAAAGAGACCAAAAGAGGGTGTCGCATCCCCTGGATCTAGAGTTACTGATGGTTATTTGCCATCATGTGGGTGCTGGGAACTGAACCTGGGTCCTCTGTAAGAGCAGCCAGTGCTCTTAACCACTGAGCCATCTCTCCAACCCCTGTTTGTTTGGCTTTGAGACAGAATCTGGTATATGTATCAAAAGCTGGCTTTGAACTTACTGTGTAGCTGAGCATGACCTTGAACGTCTGATCTTCCTGCCTCTGCCTCCCTAGGGCCGGCATCACCACATAAGGTTTTATATGGTGCTAAGGATCCTTTGTGCATGTTAGACAAGCACTCTCCACTGCTCATGCCCCCAGCTGTTTGCATTTGCTTTTGTATTTTATTTCTGAGACCTCCTCATGCAGTCAGTGATGACCTTGAATTCCTGATTCTTCTTCCTCCACCCACAACATGCCAGGACCACAAGGTATATGTCACAATGCCCATCGAGGTTGTTTTGGTTTTTACAAGGAGTGGTTAGTCCTTCTTTATTTCCCCTCATTTCCAGCTAGGTTTTGGATGAGTAAAAGAAGGGAAATTTTAAAAACTCCCCAATCCTCAAACCTTTTGCTAATTTTAGATGTACGTGGGAAATTGGGTAATGTATGTGATTTGGTCATCCTTCACAAATCTTCTGGGACTCTCCGATTACAAGTTTTAGACAGAATTATAGCATATGACAATTTTGACATAGTTATAGTTCAAAATGAACCATGCACGCTTTTTCTACTCTCAATTCCTTTATGAGAAAGGTATCTGAGTGTAGATTCTAAGAGTGGACAGAAAAAACACAGGTCTGCAGTACCAAGCACTCTTTGTTTTAATTTTGGCCTTGTGTGACTTTGAACATTTCACTTTTCTCTGAATGGTACCTTTGTAGCTGTGAAGTGAATATTGCTCCTTAAACCAAAACACAAAAATCTCTCAGATACTGATTTTCCACTCTGTAAGACAGGTTCAGGGTTGCTGTGAGGATTAAAAGAGAGAATTACGTCAGGATCCAATTCAGCATGTGGCACATAGAGAACATGCAACAGGTAAAGCAGCCTTCCCTGCATTCTGATTAACTCGATCTTTTTTTTTTTTTTTTTTTTTGCTGTTCTAGAAGACAAGGAAGAAGAGTTCTCCCTTTGGTTACCCACCACTGCCCCCATGGCTTCCATGCAGATGGATCCTGAGTTAGCCAAGCAACTCTTCTTTGAAGGGGCCACTGTGGTCATTCTGAACATGCCCAAGGGGACAGAGTTTGGCATTGACTACAACTCCTGGGAGGTGGGGCCCAAGTTCCGGGGTGTGAAGATGATCCCACCAGGCATCCACTTCCTCCACTACAGCTCTGTGGACAAGGCTAATCCCAGGGAGGTAGGCCCTCGTATGGGCTTCTTTCTTAGCCTGAAGCAGCGGGGGCTCACAGTTCTACGCTGGAATTCAGTCCAAGAAGAGGTAGACTTGTCTCCAGCTCCAGAGGCTGAAGTAGAAGCTATGAGGGCCAATCTCCCAGAGCTGGACCAGTTTCTGGGGCCTTACCCATATCCCATGCTCAAGAAATGGATCTCACTTACCAACTTCATCAGCGAGGCCACCATGGAGAGGCTCCAGCCTGAGAGTCGGCAGATCTGTGCCTTCTCAGATGTCCTGCCTGTACTTTCCATGAAGCACACCAAGGATAGGATGGAGCAGAATCTACCCCTCTGTGGCACTGAATGCAAAAGCTACCAAGAGGGCTTGGCCCGGCTGCCTGAGATGAAGCCCAGAGCTGGGACAGAGATCCGCTTCTCGGAGCTGCCCACTCAGATGTTCCCAGCAGGTGCTACACCAGCAGAGATAACTAGGCACAGCATGGACTTGAGCTATGCCCTCGAGACGGTGCTCAAAAAGCAGTTCCCCAGCAGCCCCCAGGATGTACTTGGTAAGAAGGAATTAGGCTCTCTAGTGGGGTGTTCTAGGGCACATCTTGGGTTATCTAGTCCTGTGGTTCTTAAACCAGGCTAGGAGGTAAATTCACCCAGTAGTCATTAGGGATACAGATGTATCTGTACCTTTAACCTAGAGATTTTTTAAATTATTATTTTATTTGTAGGAATGTTTTGCCTGCATATATGTAAGTACACCATGTGTGTGCAATATCTGCAGAGGTGAGAAGAGGGTATTGGAGCTCCTGAAACTGGAGTTACAAGCTGTTGTTAACTGCCATGTGGGTGCTGGAAACCAAACCCAGGTTCTCTGCAAGAGCAGCCAGTGCTCTTAACTGCTGAGTCATCTCTCCAGTCCCCACTAACCTAGAGATTTTCAGTCAAGAGATTTAGAATGGGGCTCCAACAGTTTGGGTAGCTGTCTGTCTAATAACCAAGCATTTTAGGCAAGCCTGTGCAGATAATCCTATGTTTGGTCTTCTTTAAACAGTTCCATGTCATTGAAATGGTCACCTCTTTAATGGTTATTTCCTGCTCCACAGTTAGGGAACACTAGTTCTCAGATGACAGAGCCTTAAAACAGTCCTATTCTCTATTATAAACATAGCCTAATGAGAACAGTTATGCATAGGCTTAGGGTTAGAATTGTTGCCTCACATTGTACTTGTTGGCAGGTTTTGTGTCCCTCACCAGGTCATAAGTGGCTGTTTGTCACCCTTGACAGCACTGGGCATGGTTTCTTAGCAAAGGCCTCTTCATTTGAGTGGTTGAAAAATGGCATCTTGTTTCTGTTTCTTCAATACTAGTGACAGCAAACATTTGTCATCCTGTTTCTATATGTGTATATGTGTTCATGTGCCATGTGTGTGTGTGCATACATGTGGAAGCCAGAGGTCAACCTTGGGTGTTGTTATTCCCTAGGTGCCATCTGCCTTTTTCTTTTGAAACAGGGTCTCTCCTTGACCTGGAACTCACCAAGACAGGATCTGCCTGTCTCCACCTCCCCAGTGCTTGGATTGTAAGTGCTTGCACCACCACACCGGCATTTTTAATGTGCCTCCTGGCGACCTAACTTGTGTCCTTGTGCTTATAAGGCAAACACTGTTATTGGCTGAACTGATGATACAAAGCACAGTTTAGTAAGCACATCTTAATGCATTGCATAGTTTTTATATAATAAGTAGCCCCAGAAATTTTGGCTTAAAAAAATGAATAGGAGTCTTTTTTTCTCTCAAACCTTTCAGTTACTTAAAATATAACTTGAGAAAAGGTTTGTCATAGGGATAAGTTGGAATCTACTTATTAACTCCTTAAAATTATTTCTGACATTGTAATTTAATTTTAGACAAGGTCAGAAAGCCACAAATTTAAATTAATGCTACTGTGTATAGCAGGTTCTAGGCCAACTTGGCTACATAGTTAGACCCTTTCTCAACATGTCCCCCAGAATAAATAGCAAAGTACTAAGTACTGCTATGAATACAAAATACTAGACTACTGTTAGTTTCACAATTTAAGCAGATAAAAACAACTGTAGTAGTAGTAAATCATTATACACAAATTTTAACTGTATTTTGAAGATTTCACAGTCTCTTGGAATCAGAGAACTAGTCTTCCCTTGTCCCCTGAAGATGGCAGCTCAAATGTCATGAATTGGTGGTATGCTAGTTAGTTCTTTTTTACAGCCCACATGTATGTACGTTGATTACTTTTATAGCCACCTCTGAAGCCAGGGAGAATGCTGTTCAGTGATAGTGTGTGTGTATTTATTTATTTATTTATTTATTTATTTATTTATTTATTTTTTGAGACAGGGTCTTGCTGTGTGGCTTTGGCTGGTCTGGAGCTCGCAGTGGTCCTCTTCCCTTTGCTTCCCGGGTGTAGGGGTTACAGGTGGCCCAGCCATAGTGTATCTGTGGCAGGCAGAAGATCCAGTTGCTTGCACATAGATTATGGGGTTCCTTTGTTTGAGGCAGGTATTGAGTGGAAATTGGGAACAGTAACTAGTATTTTTTGAGTTCTGCCGTGTGCAAGATCTTATTCTAAATGTTCTGCATGCACTGTATCAATTCTTTGAATCACAACTCTCAAATAAGGAAATTGAGGCATAAATAGATGAAGCAACTTGCCTGAGGCCACACAGCTGCTAAGTGCTAAAGCTAAGATTTGCATATGGGCACTTTGTCTCCAGAGCCCATACTCCTCGCCACCAGGCTGCTCACAGAGATTGAATAAGAGCCCTGTGATTAAATAAACAAAAGTATGCTTACTGGCAAGCTAGCCCTAGAATAAGAACTTAGGAATTTCCTGTTTCAGAAGACTCTTAAGAAGTGTTCCTCCCAGCAGGGAATCTGTTTTATCTATACACTGTTCAAAGTATTAGCTACGCAATCTTAGGCAGGCCCTTACCTCATCTATAAATAAGGGAAATGCCTTCTCTGATGATCTTGAGGAGTTGGACTGAGGGTGGTGCCATGGGAGAATGCAGCTTTTCATTGGCCCTAGAGCATGGTCATCTGTACCGGTGTCACCTGGGAAGCTTAGAACAGAGGTGACCATGTCAGTAGAAAATGTTTAGAGTTGATTGTGGAATATTGATGCTTTGATCTTGTTTTTACAAATCCTGGGGACCTGTCATCTCTACTCAGCCAAAATCTCTGAGGGGACAGTTGGGCAGCTTTCTTTTAATGCACTCTCTTAGTAATTCTGATGGGAAGGTTGGGGAGGCTACCTCCCAAAATGCTAGGCACATAGTAGTACTACCTCTTGTGGCCTGTTTTTTTTTTTTTTTCTTTTTAAATGTGTATGAGTTTTTTTGGCTACATGTGTATAAATGCACTGCATACAGTGCGTGCCCACTGAGGGTAGAAGAAGGTATTGGATCCCTAGACTGGGATCCTAGAACTCCAGCTGTCTGCAGTTAGATGGTTGCTAGTTGCCATGTGAGTGCTGGGAACTAAACCCAGGTTTTCTGCAAGAACATCCAGTGCTCTTAGCCCCTGAATGATCTCTCTAGCCCCTGTGGCCTGTTTTTTCATAAATCTATAGCCACAGTTTAGGTGTCCCATGGTCCAGTAAACATTTACTGAGTGCCTATGAGATGCGAAGTCCCATGCTAACTTCTGTTGGGAGTCAGACAGGTAAGAGGCTCACTGTTGCTGAGGTCCAGTGGAATTGATGGCCTTGTGAATTGTGTAGGGTAGTGTCAGCTGGTGCTCCCTGTTATCTGTCTTTTAGCTCTTCTCTGTACCTCACAGGTGAACTCCAGTTTGCCTTTGTGTGCTTTCTGCTGGGCAATGTATACGAGGCATTTGAGCACTGGAAGCGGCTCCTGAACCTCCTGTGCCGCTCGGAAGCAGCCATGGTGAAACACCAAACCCTGTACATCAGCCTCATCTCCATCCTGTACCACCAGCTTGGGGAGATTCCTGCCGACTTCTTTGTGGACATTGTCTCCCAAGACAACTTCCTTACCAGCACTTTACAGGTGGGCTGCCTAGGCTAACACTCACATGGGTCAGAATGAAGACAAAGTTGGGAAGGCACCCTCAGAAGGATGCTTTTTGTTTCTTGCTATTTTATGACCCTGAGAATTAATTGAAGTTCCTAACCTTGAGATGTTTCCTAGTTCTCTGTCTTCTGCTCTGCATCTCATAATCTCCTCTGTGCCAAAAACCCTCTCTGTGTCAGCTTTCCCCACATCACCCTCAGAGGGCCTAGCACTAGGGTACTTAGAATGTGAACCCTCTCCACCACTTTGGGTTGCTTAGCTATACTGTTATATTTTCACTGCTATAAGGAAGTATCTGAGGCAGGCTACTTTGAAGTAAAGAGGTTCATTCATTTATTTTATTACTGTTATTTTTAAATTTTGTGTGTGAGAGTGATGGTGCACATGTATCACGGGATACTTGTGGAAGTCAGAGCACGATTTTTAGGAGTCAGTTCTTCCACTGTGAGTTCTGGGGATTGAACTCAGGTTATCATGCTTATGTGGCAAGCACTTTTATCTGCTAACCATCTTGAGGCCCCAAAAGAAGTTTTTATGTAGCTCATAGTTTTAGAGGCTCAAATTCCAAGATCTGGTGGTCCTACTAGTGACAACCTTTTCTTAAGAACTAATCGAAGAATCCCATGAGAGCTCCATTAATCCCTCCCAAGAGTACCAACTACCCCAATGAGCTATGAACCTCTCACTAGGCCCCATCCCTTAACAGCACAACACACACGAAGCTGCCAGTGTATGAACCCTTGGGGGACAAACCACATCTAAACCGGAGCACTAGCTCAAAACAGCTTCTCTTTTTTTCCTGTAGCTGTGAGTTGCTGCAACCCAGTGAGGCAGTTTTGAAGCTTGTTATTCCCAAAGAAACACGTGCAGCTCCTTAGATCTCATTTAAGCATTAAAGTAACTTTGATTTCCTGTTCAAACAAAATGTGCCAGTTTCTGTAGAGATTCTCTGACAGAAAAAGTAAAATTTGCTTTTAACTTGGCAATTAAATTTTCATTATGAGTGGTAATTAGAGAAGAAGTTTCAAACAACTTAGAATCTTCATCCTTTGCTATTTCCTCCCTTTGCAAACAGATTAGCTTTCCTTTATGTACTTGGGATAGCCCCTGTCACTCATATTTTGTAACTTTCTCAAGTGTAGCAGAGGCAGTTAGTGTCAGTTTTCATAGCTTCCATACTACCAGTGTCTTGTGTTTGTATGTGATACCCCCACAAGGCCTGCTCCATGCCAGGTGGCTCCTTACTTACCCCTGCGCGCCCCGCCCCCCCATCCAGGGAAGAAGTTGAGTCTCAGACACCATATTTATCATACTATATGCTGTCTTACTTTTCCTGTTGCTGTGATAAATAACCTAACAAAAGCAATGTAAAGAAGAAAGGCTTTATTCTGGCTTACAGTTTGGGGTTACATTCATTCCATCATGGTGGGGAAATCACAGCATCAGGAGCTTGTGGCAGCTGGTCACGTTGCATTCACAGTAAGGAGAGCATGAATGCTTGTGTTCAACTCACTTGATCCTTTTTATACATTTCAGTATCCTAACTTGGGGGTGGCACCACCCACAAGGGTGGATCTTTCTACCTCAGTTAACCTGATCATGCCCAGAGGCCTTTCTCCCAGGTGATTTTAGATCTTACCAGGTTGACAGTTGAAATTAATCATCATACATGGGTTCCCTCATTTAATCTCTCTGGAACCCTGTAAGACAGAGCAGATCATTCTCATTTTTCAAATGTAAAAACAGACTCGGGATATAACTCACTGGTAGAGTGCTTTCCTAACAGTTATAAGGCCTAAGCTCAAACCCCAGCACTGGGAGGGGGAAAAAAGTAGAAAGATTAAACTGTTTACTTAAGTTCACACAACAAGTAAGTGGAAGTCAGGGTTTGTTTTTTTGTTTTTGTTTTTTTTTAAAAATATTTTTAAATATTTTACTATTTAATATTTTAATTTTTTTAAAAAAAATATTTATTTTATGTGTATGTGTATATTGCCTGCATGTATATAAGTGCACCCGTGTTGTGCAGTGCCCACGGAGGACAGAAGAGGCTGTCAGATCCCCTGGAATTGGAGTTAAGAACAGTTGTTAGCTGCCAAGTGGGTGCTGGGATTCGAACCCGGGTCTTCTGCAAAAACAACAAGTGTTCTTAACCACTGAGCCATCTCTCCAGCCCGAGAAGTCAGGATTTGTATAAAAGTTTGAGATGGTTTGGCATTTGTGCTCTGTCCTAAGGTATTAAATACAGTGCGGATCTCCTAAAAACAATTCCTGTGCATGTTGTTTCTCAGAGGTACAGAATACTTTTTCCAAACCTGCTATGCTTTTGGGAGAGTCCCTGTGATTAGGCAGCTGGCAGTTGACTTAAAATTCTGGCAGCTGGGGAACTTGTGCTGACCATTGGGGTGAATCAGTAAGTTGATGACTTGAACTTGGCATATTCCATTCCTTTTCCTGTTCTTTATAGAACCGAGTAGTTAAATCTCCTCCTCTTCTATGGGAGCCTTCCTGCAAAATCACTGTTTGCAGGTTGCTGAGCAGTGTGAGGAGTCATCACCTACTAACTTGACTCCACTGATGGCTACAGTCTTAGGGAGTGATGTATGCTCCTCATGTTGGGAATGGATGCTGTCACACAAGCACAGGAAGGCCTCGGTGTAAGTCTCTATCCCAGATACTGTCAGCATTGCCAGTAGCTAGCTGAGCTTGTGATCCAGCAGTGATTTTGGGTTACTAGATGCCCAGGTGGGTTGTGCAGTGTTGATAGTTGGGAACGTTCTCTGGACTTTTCACCAAGAAAATTTGATATCATTATTTGGTTTGTTTTGGGTTTTTGTTCTGAGGCATTTAAAAATTTTTTTTTTTTTTTTTATCTTTTTGAGACAAGGTCTCCCTGTAGCCCTAGCTGGCCTGGAACTCACTATGAAGACCAGGCTAACCTTGAACTCACAGAGATCCACCTGCCTCTGCCTCCCTGGTGCTGGGATTAAAGGTGTGTACCACCACACCTGGCTTGAGGCAAGCTCTTTAGTCCAGGCTGCCCAAACTCCCAAAGTAGCCAAGGATGACCTTGCTGATCCTCTTTCCTCCACCTCACAAGGATTGGGATTTCTAGGTGTGTGTCACCACACCCAGTTTATGTAGCACTGGGCATAGAACCCAGGGCCTTCTGCATGCTAGACAAGCACTCTACCGACTAAGCTATGTCAGTTGATGTTTTTGTTCGAAAAAATTCAGGACACATGTACATCAATAAATGTTGAGTACCATTCCGCTGAAAGTGTGAGGAATATAAACAGGAGCTAGCTAGGGTTCCTGTCTTCAAGGTTTTGTTTTAGGAGGTACTGACTGGGCACCTGACTGTTCTAGAAGTGGGAACGTAACTTTGAGTGAGCCCCTAACAATGGGAAACTAAACGAACTAACTAAAGAACTCCAGATAGTGTTGGCATAGAAGGCAGACCTGCCCTATACCATTGTCCTACCCCAGGCTTTGGGGCTCCCCTAGACTGCCTCAGAGCTCATCAGCCTCCAAGCCTACCTTCTTAACCCATCTGCCTCTCACTGCAGCCTGTGGTGTTCCAAAATGCACTCTACTCTGTTTTCTCTGTTTCCTCTATTGCCTAAGAAAGTTAAAAGCCCCAACCTTGGTCCCAAGGCTCATTGTGACTTGGCTCTTATTCTTTTCTCTAGCTGCTGCACCCTGTCACCAAGGCAATGTGGTAGCTCCTCGCAGCAAGTTCCCCGAGAGCACATGCTGTTTCATGCTACCTTGTTTTCTTTTAAGAGATGAGATTTCATTGTGTTTCTGAGCTAATTTCAAATTCCTGGACTCAAGTGATTCCAGCAGTCCAAGTGCCAGAACTACAGGCACATACCACCTTGTCTAGTCTTTCATTTTTAATAAAAATAAATAAATAATTTGAGGGGCTGGAGAGATGGCTCAGCAGCTAAGAACACTGGCTGTTCTTGCAGAAGACCCAGGTTTGAATCCCAGCACTCACATGGCAGCTAAGAGCTGTCCATTACTCCAATTCCAGGGGATCTGACAGCCTCTCTGACCTCTGTGGGTATTACATGACATGGGCGCACTTACCTACATGCAGGCAATACACACACATACAGATAAAATAAAAATAAATTTAAAAATAAAAATAAATGCTATGATGCTACAGAACTAAAGGAATGCTGCTGGGAATGCAAATCAGCATAGGTATTACTGAGTGTAATATCCCTAAGTTTCACTGGTCAATCATTGAAAGTGTTTAGAACAGTATTAACTATAAGCATGTGCTGTTCAGCAAGTTTCTGGAACCCTTATATCTTGGATAACTGACTTTATACCCATATTTCCTGCCTTCTGTAATGAACCTGGTTTTCCCTCAGCCTCCCATGTACCTGTTCGTACTCCCTCTCCGTGAAGCCATCCCTCATCTCTCTGCCGCCTTCCAGTACTCTGAGCCTGCTTTGTGTTGTCACTGGTATAAACTTGGGTTGTGCTTCTTGAAGTTAATACAGCATTCAGTTTGATTGTCCACAGGGCCATAAACTTTTGATACAAGGCAAATTTTTTTTCTCCATATGGTTATTTTCAATACCTAGTCAACACCTAACATTTGACCTGTGTTACTGGTTGGTTTTACATGAAAAACACTCATAATTCCTTTGACAACGTAAATATTGTAAGTATAAACAGTGAAATCTGATAAAGGGAATTTAACACACCAAAGAAGGAATGGTAGAGTCTGACTGGAGTTAATATTTGAGGGGTTTAAAAGTTCAAAAATGTCGGGCTGGAGAGATGGCTCAGAGGTTAAGAATACTGGTTATTCTTGCAGAAGACCCAGGTTCGAATCCCAGCACCCATATGGCAACTAACAACTGTCTGAAACTCTAGTTCTAGGGGATCCAACAGCCTCTTCTGTCCTCCGTGGGCATTGCATGACTCGGGTACACTTACCTACACATAGGCAATAC